AGGTCTGAGGAAGCGAAATGCCATTCTCGGCCCTCCTCGTCTCGTCCCCCATCTGGTCGGGGCCCGCACCGTAGCGCCCATGAGATGTGGGTCTATGCAGAGGCACGACTTGATATATACAGAGCTTTACACGCAGAGGGTCGAGCGATGGAGGTGGAGGTTCAGGTGGTGCAAAATGAAGCACGCACGGCTCGTGAATCGTGTGGGTATTACCCCGACTCTCCCGATGGGGAGGATGTTGCTTCCGAGGATGTCGAACGTCTTGACTCAGACTCGTGGTATGAGGACGCTTAAGCCACGGGGGGTGGTAGTTAGTTTAAGCTTGTATATTTTTGCTTCCGCATCTTCTTTGGGTGTGTGGTGTACTAAAATCCGTCCATGTGGACGATTGTATATAGTTTTTGTTGTTAATACAAACTTTTATTTTTGTCGCTTCGTCTGTTTGTTGCTTTTCCCTTTTGTTGTTTTTGTTTTATACTTAGCCTTCGCGAATATTGCCTTTTAGGAGATTTTGTCGTGGTTCGAACGTGATCGAACAATGTTGATGGCCTTAGCCGTTAGGACGTTGCTTTGACTGTCATCGAGGTAACATCCGTCGTGGTCCGAACGAGGTCGAACAATGTCGATGGCCTTAGCCGTTAAGATGTTGTTTCGACTGTCGTCGAGGTAACATCCGTTGTGGTCCGAATCGAAATCGAGCAATGTCGATGGCCTTAGCCGTTCAGATGTTTCGACTGTCGTCGAAGTAACATCCGTCGTGGTCCGAATCGAAGTCGAACAATGTCGATGGCCTTAGCCGTTAAGATGTTTCGACTGTCGTCGAAGTAACATCCGTCGTGGTCCGAATCGAAGTCGAACAATGTTGATGGCCTTAGCCGTTAAGATGTTTCAACTGTCGTCGAAGTAACATCCGTCGTGGTCCGAATCGAAGTCGAACAATGTCGATGGCCTTAGCCGTTCAGATGTTTCGACCGTCGTCGAAGTAACATCCGTCGTGGTCCGAATCGAAGTCGATCAATGTCGATGGCCTTAGCCGTTAGGATGTTGCTTCGACTGTCGTTGAGGTATTATTCGTCGTGGTTCGAACGAGGTTGAATAATGTCGATGGCCTTAGCTGTTAGGATGTTGCTTCGACCGTCGTCGAAGTAACATCCGTCGTGGTCCGAATCGAAGTCGATCAATGTCGATGGCCTTAGCCGTTAAGATGTTTCGACTGTCGTCGAAGTAACATCCGTCGTGGTCCGAATCGAAGTCGAACAATGTCGACGGCCTTAGCCGTTAAGATGTTTCGACTGTCGTCAAAGTAACATTCGTCGTGGTCCGAATCGAAGTCGAACAATGTCGATGGCTTTAGCCGTTAGGATGTTGTTTCGATGGAGATTCGACTTCTGTTCATATCGCGGAGATTTCTGTTCACACAATGGAGATCGACACTTTTGTTCACGTAATGGAGATTTTTGTTTATACAATGGAGATTGATTTCTATTCATACAATGGAGATCGACTTCTGCATATATAATGGAGATTGACTGGGGTAGTCCCTTCATTACTTCGGTCTAGAGACCGTGTTGATGGACCGAGGTGATGAATTGTGCTTTTGATCCATGGGGCATCTCCTTCGCCGCCTCGTTAAAAACCTCCCCGAGAAAACCCAATTGGGACAAAACTCAGGTGAGGGAAAAAGAGTACGACCTAGGAGACGCCTCTTAGAAGTGGAAGTACTTGAGGTGAGCGACGTTACAATTTTTTTGGAGTGGTTTTCCCTCCATAGTTTCCAGTTGGAATGCTCCCTTATTTGCGACTGCTGTGATTTTATACGGTCTGTCCTAGTTGGCTCCCAACTTTCCCTCGTTTGGGTCTTTTGATGCCAGCGTTTTGGCCTTGAGGACGTAATCACCAACTTTGAGTGATCTTACTTTGGATTTTCTGTTGTAGTATCTTTCTACCTGCTGTTTTTTGGGCTATCATTCTTATATGGGCCATGTCTCTCCGTTCTTCGACTTCATCTAGGTCTTGTAACCTATTTTCATCGTTACCCGCCCCGCTGTCATGGGAGTATCTCAGGCTTGGCTCCCTGATCTCGACGGGTATGACTGCATCGGTTCCATAGACTAGTGAATATGGCGTTTCTCCCGTGCTGGACTTTGGCGTTGTTCGGTATGCCCATAGTACTTCGGACAGTAATTCGGGCCATAACTCTTTAGCTTCCTCGAGCTTCTTTTTCAATATGTTCAATATTACTTTGTTGGAAGAGTCGGCTTGACCGTTGGCGGCTGGGTGGTACGGAGTGGAGAGTATCCGCTTGATGTGCCATTTGTCGAAGAACTCGGTCGTTTTCTTTCCGATGAACTGAGGCCCATTGTCGCAGCTGATTTCTTTGGGGATGCCGAAACGACATATAACATTCTTCCACATAAAAGCGATGACCTCCTATTCGCGTATTTGAGCGTACGCACCTGCTTCCACCCATTTGGAGAAATAGTCAGTTAAAATTAAAAGGAAATCGCCCAGCCAGCAGGGGGCCGATTATGTCCATCCCCCCATTTTATGAAGGGCCATGGCGAAGTGATTGAATGGAGGAGTTCTCCCGCTTGATGTATCATGGGGGCGTATTTTTGGCATTGCTCGCATCTCTGGACGTAGTCTACTGCTTCTTTTTTCATAGTAGGCCAGTAATAGCCGGCACGGATGAGGCATCGGACGAGGGCGCGATTCCCAGTATGGGCGCCGCAATGGCCCTCGTGCACCTCCTCCAATACTTGTCTTGTTTGGTGGGGTCCGAGGCATTTGGCGAGGGGGCCGCCGAAAGTTCTTTTGTAGAGGTCATGATTTACCAGGCTGTATCGGGCAGCTTGCACTCGGAGATTCTTGGCTTCTTTTTTCTCTTGAGGGAGTGTTCCGTCCTGCAGATAGGCTACAAAGCGGTTGCGCCAGTACCATGTTAATTTCAAGGAAAATACCTCGACGTGATCTATGGCTGAATGGAGGAGGGTGACCACGTTTCCTTTGTTGATGTTCTTGGTGGCTGCGGCTAGCTTGGCTAGGCCATCTGCTTCAATGTTTTGCGCCCTAGGTATCTGCTCGAGGCGGCATTCGTCGAATTCTGGCATCAGCTTTTGGATCTCTGATTGATACTTTTGTAGTCTTTGTTCTTTAATTTGGAAAGTCTCGGTGACTTGATTTACGATGAGTTGGGAGTCGCAGTGGAGGATGAGTCACCGGGCTCCGTACTTGAGTGCTAACTTCATACCTGCAACCACAGCCTCGTACTCGGCCTCGTTGTTAGTCATCTCGGGACATCGTATGGACTGGCGAATTACTTCGCCTGTAGGGACTTCGAGGACGAGTCCCAGTCCCGATCCCGAGGCATTCGAGGCTCCGTTAGTATAGAGGGTCCAAATGTCGGTGAGAGTGGAGGCACGAAGGGCGTCTTGTTCCGCTTCCGGCAGAATTTCCATACTGAAATCGGCGACAAAGTCGGCGAGCACCTGCGACTTAATGGCAGTTCGCGGGTGATACGTTATGTCGTGCTCGCTGAGCTCTATGGCCCATCTGGCGAGTCTGCCTGAGAGCTCGGGTTTATGCAGGATGCCCCTTAGGGGAAATGTTGTTATTACTTTTATGGGGTGACATTGAAAGTAAGGTCTAAGCTTTCGTGAAGCTACGACTAGTGCCAGAGCCGGTTTTTCAAGGTGTGGGTACCTTGTTTCGGCATCGATTAGGGTCTTGCTGATATAGTAAATGGGGGATTGCGTACCTTTATTTTCGCAGACTAAGACTGTGCTGACGGCGACTTCGGTTACCGCTAGGTATACGAGCAGACTCTCACCTGGGTCTGCCTTGACGAGTAGTGGTGGCAAAGACAGATATGCTTTTAGTTTCCTCAAGGCGGCGATGCACTCTTTGTTCCATTGTAGTCCATGATCCTTTTTCAGTACATTGAAGAACTTGTGGCACCTGTCCGAAGATCTCGAAATGAACCTTGATAGGGCGGCTATTCGTCCCGTCAGCTACTGTACCCGTTTCTTGCTGTTCAGTACCTCGAATATCGTGTCTATGGCCTTGATCTGATCCGGGTTGACCTCGATGCCTCGTTGTGACACAAGGAAACCCAGAAATTTTCCTGAGGCCACGCCGAAGGCGCATTTTTCCGGATTCAATTTCATCCCGTACTGTTTCAATATCTCGAAGGCTTCTTTCAAATGACCGATAGGGTCTTCTTTCTTTTCCAATTTCACCAGCAAGTCGTCGATATAGACCTCCATTGTCTTGCCGAGCTGTTCCTTGAACATCTTGGTAACTAACCTCTGGTATGTGGCCCCCGCATTCTTGAGTCCGAATGGTATCACCTTATAGCAGTAAGTCCCTTGGTGGGTGATGAAAGTTGTTTTCTCTTGATCCTCCTCAACCATTAGGATTTGGTTGTAACCGGAGTAGGCGTCCAAGAAACTCAGCAGTTCGTGTCCCGCTGTTGCGTCGATCAGTTGGTCGATATGGGGCAAGGGAAAGGAATCTTTTGGACATGCCTTGTTCAGATCGGTGAAGTCCACACACATTCTCCACTTGCCATTTTTCTTTTTGACCATAACAACATTAGCGACCCATTGGGGGTATTTCGATTCTTTGATGGAGCCGTTGGCCAGTAACTTGTCCACTTCTTCACTGACTGCCTCGTTAATTGCGGCATTGAATTTCCTCCTCATCTGCCGCACGGTCGGATAGAGCGGATCGATATTCAGCCTATGAGTGGCGGTGTCTTTTGGAATCCCCGGCATATCTGAGTGTGAAAAGGCAAATAGATCGGCATTGTTAGTCAAAAATTCACGATACTTACCTGGCTCGGAGAGGCTGTGTCCGATATAAACCTTTTTTGTATCGTCGGCATCGTCCAGGTGTACCGCGTCGAGATCTTCAATAGTTGCTTTGCAAGCTTTTACAATGTCGGGCTCTATGATGACTTCTGCTGGCGAGTCAGTTTTAGCTCCCGACATGGCTGATTGCTATGACTCCGCGCTTGCCCCTTTTAACTGCTTGGTATGCGTGCAATCTTGGGCGATCCGGTAGCATTCCTGGGCGGTGCGCGGCTCGCCTCGAATGCTGAAAATTCCCCACGGGGTGGGAAACTTGATTACCTGATAGAAGCTTGAGGGGATGGCTCGCATGGCGTGTATCCATGGGCATCCTATGATGGCATTATAGGCGGTTTCCTGGTCCATGACGTGGAATGTAGTTTCCAGCGTGACTCCCCCAGCCAGGACTGGTAATGCTATTTCTCTAGATGTCCGCTCTACTGCATTATTAAAACCCGTTAGTGTTATGCAACGTGGTATTATCTTATCCTTGAGCTTCATTCGCATGAGAACTCTCGGGTGGATAATACACGCGCCGCTTCCATCATCTACTATAATTCTCTTCACATCTGTATCAGCGATGCGTAATGTTATGACTAAAGCATCGTAATGAGGGAAAGACAAACCGTCGGTATCTGACTTGTCGAAGATGATACTGTCTTTGAAGCCATCATACCGTTCGTGAGTGATTGTATGTTTGAGCTTATGCGTGGTGGCGAACTTTACGTGGTTGATCACCGAGTCGTCGCCACCGCCGATAATCATTTGTATGGTACGTGCCGGCGACGGTGGCCTTGGTGGTCCTTGAGATGGGTCGCGCCCTCTGGCGAAGTTGGCCTTTCCCTTATCGCTGAGCAGTTCTTTCAGGTATCCCTGGTTCAGCATTCTAACCACCTCCTGTCGTAAACCTATGCAGTCTTCGGTCTTGTGTCCTCTTTCCTGATGGAATTTGCAGAGGACATTTGACCTTCTTGCGTTTGGGTTCGATTTCATCTTTGGTGGCCACTACACCTTCGTGCCCAGCTTCTTTAGTGCGTACACTATTTCTGAAGGGGAAACACAAAAGTTGTGAGCAGATAATAATAGAGGCATACCTTTTTCATTTCGAAGGGGCGCGATATGTCACGACACGGCATCTGCATGCCTCGGGGGAGGCGGATTTGGATTTCTGACATAGGGCTGATGCCTTTCTCTGTTGAAGCGCGGGAGCTAATCCCTTCGTCCGTCGCTACGTCGATCCCTCCTTACCTCGGACTATACTGACGCTAGTCGCTGGGTTGGACCGTTCAGATCGTCTTCATCTGCTCTTACTTCGGCGCAGTAGGCATTATGGATTTCCTCCCATGTGGTGGGAGGGTACTTCATGAGTCTATTGAGTAACTTCTTGGTTGCCTTCGATCCGCTTCTGCTTAATCCGTTTTGGAAGGCTGCGACCGCCATTCCTTCCGACACATTTGGTAGTCCCATTCTTACCCTGTTGAACAGGGCTAGAAAGTCCCGGAGCCCTTCGCCCGCCGTTTGTCTGATAGCGAAGATGTCATTGACCCAGGCTTCAGCCTTCTTTGCTCCTGCATGAGCGGTAGCGAATTTATCCGCCATTTCCTCGAACGTCGATATCGATCGTGCTGGTAGCTGAGAATACCAGGTTAACACTCCTCCTGTCAAAGTCTCACCGAACTTTTTCAACAGCACAGATGGTACTTGTTCTTTTGACAAGTCGTTGCCTTTTACCGCAGTGACGTAATGAATCAGGTGATCTTCTGGATCCGTGGTCCCGTCGTATATTTTCAAGTATGGTGGCATTTTAAAGGTTTTCGGGATGGGGTGGGGAGCAGCTTCCTCACTGTCCGGCTGCTCGACAAACCTTCCCACATCGCGTTTTGGCAGCAGCTTAGGGGCGCCGGGTATTTTGTCAACCCTTTCCTGGTGTTCTTTCATTTGGTCACGAAGCATTTTGTTCTCGTTTTCCATTTCTTCCATNCATCGGTGGTAGTGCGATTGTTGATTGTTTGTACAGTGCTTGGCTCGCCGGTGACAGCAGTGACTTCCAACGTTGGCGAATCTCCGGTATTTCCTAGAGAAGGTTTTTCGAGCATGGTGTTTAGAGCGCTTGTCAACCATTCTTCTGATAGCTTTTTGACTGCTGGTGGTGTTTCCCTCACCGTAGATGTCGAAGTTCCTCTTTCGCGCAAGATCGTCAGATCCTCGAGTATAGAGGGTGAGATCTCCCCCTCCGATATACCTCTTGGTGTTATATTCTCGTTGTCTTCTCTACCAGCTTCGTTGAGGGAGTCTAAGAGGTTGTTTGAGACATTCGCTATCGCTTTCAACCTTGCTTCTTTCTCTGCCATCGCTGATTTCTATGGAGTGCGGAGGATAGAGATCGTTTTGTTTGATATCCCAGGTGAGAACTATGATTTCGACTACAGAAATCCCCACAGACGGCGCCAAATTGTTTGACTCAAAAGATGTTAAAATCCTTTTAAGCAAATCAATCACAGAACTGAAAGGGTAAATCGTAGTCGGAGATAATAATCCCCAGGATCGTTTTATTAATCGGAATAATAACAACAATGTATGGATAATAGAGAGGGAGAGATAGAGAGATAAAGATTAGAGAGATAAATATTAGATAGAGAGTCAGTTCTTTTGTTACCAGTCCTCTATTACAATGTTCGATCCCCCTTTATATAATAGAGGGATTCGAGCTAAATCCTAGGAGTGATAACGTCAGTGTACTTTTATAACGGAACTAATAACAGGCCGAGGTTGTCCCCCACCTCACCCGGGGTCGTTCCCTTGTGTCGAGTCGTAGACATTCGACGGTTAGTCACGCAGGCGGTGGGACGTGGTTAGTCAAATTCGACCCCATACAATGGAGGCCGTGGATTATTGTATGTTGTGGTAAAATTAGCGTTAAGGAGGAAGCCAAAGTATCTGGATTAGGCTATGAAAATTTGCAAAGCATAAATACACTGTAAAGAAAAATAGGTAAATTACTTGATTTTTTAAAATGATTTTTTAAAAGAATGAAATCGCAACTTTTGGTGAAAAAGAGAGAGAAGAAAATCGCAACTCTTAGGTAAAGTGTTTAATTTTTAAAAATAATGAATTTGTAACTCTTCCTCAATCGGTGGGATGCTTGCAACTCTTCCTCAATTGTCCCCTCCTCAAAACGTTTTTCTTTCTTTGTATTGGCTAGTTGGGAGTTATTACTTTGTCACGACCCAATTTCCCCTCCGTTGGGTATCGTGATGGCACCTAGTATTAGGGACTAGGTAAGCCTAACAATTACTGAATAATAACAATAATAAAGAAAATGTAACAGTCTCGATATAGAAATCTTTACAAAGTTTACAATTTCCCAAAACCGGTAGTACAAGTCATAAGCTCTACAGAGTTTACTACGACTTCTAAATACAACTGTTTGGAAATAAGTAAAACAGTGTGAATACAAAAAAATAGGAAGGTGACTCTGAAACCTACAAACGCAGCAATAGGTTTACCTTGAGTCTCCACAACAACGATCCGCACAGCTACTAACGAGCAAATACCTGAATCTGTACAAAAATGTACAGAAGTATAATATGAGCACACCACAGCGGTGTCCAGTAAGTATCAAGACTAACCTCGGTGGAGTAGTGACGAGGAACAGTCAAGAAACCTACTGGTCTAATAAATTGAACAAGTATAAGTATAGGAACAACAGTATATGATTTCTACATGAAAACTACGCAATATGACTAACAATACAGTAATTACAATAAGAAAGGAGAAAACGACAAATATCAGCGGAATACCATAATAATGACACAGAAGAGTGAGCGGAAACATAACCTAAATATGAAACCACAGATACAGCAAAGACAAATAATAACTCAGCAACTACGACAACTTTCACATTTGATTTTTTTAGTCAATAACCTTCACGAAGTACCGAAATCAGATAAATTGGGACTCACGGGTCTCAATACCTGAACCCTAACACTTGGCATCCTGTGCCCTCATCACAACTCATAATCATGCTGACAACTCACGTGCCGAATATAGCCGTTCTCACATAGAAGGCGAGTAAACAAGGGTGTGCATCTATACTCAGCAATATCAAGAAAACCTCTTATCCATTAAGGGCGCTTATCCACGTGTATGCTTGTGCAAGTGTCCTAACATAGTACATACCAGCTAGTAATCATAAGTAAAAGAATGGACATCACGTAGAATGTTTACACAGGAATAAAATCAATGAAAGACAACAGCTCAGTACACAGTGATAACAACAGGGGATCTCCCAGGATACCGTCCCTTAGTCCCAAACGTAAATGTGCAGGGGGATCTCCCGGAATACCGTTCCGTAGTCCCAAAATAAATATGTAGTGCTGGGGTATCTCCCGGAATACCGTTCCGTAGTCCCACAGTAAATATGCAGTACAAAGGGATCTCCCGAAATACCTTTCCGTAGTCCCAAAGTAAATATACAGGGGGATCTCCCGGAATACCGTTCCGTAGTCCCAAAGTAAATATGCAGCGCAACCAATAGAGATAACAACTACAACACGACAGAAACCTCGTGCATCACCACAACAAGTACAACATCAACAATGACAATAATACAAAGTACAACAAGTAAATCAACTCCAAAACTTTAAATCACAAAGAAACGGTAGAGCCCGTTCACAAGGAATAACTACAGTAAAGAATGTTAGGCGTAAAGAGAATAGCTTAACAAGGGAACACTTAAATGTAGCAACGATCCCACATTATACAATTGGACTACAAGGAAGCTAACACGAGTTGAATAATTCCAAATAATGCTATGTCAGCTGAAATATATGATATCTAATTTCTTTTAAGGTTGAGCAATTACGAAGGTTATTCGACAATTCAATTAAGGATAAACGACGGAAAGTCAATCGCAACCTCAATTAATACTAAACAACTATAGGATGAGATAATAATAATTTCAGATAATGATAGGCAGTAATGAAAAGGTAGCATGACAATAGAAGAGGTACAAATCTTCAGTTAAGTCAAATAAGAGTCAATAGGCAATAAGAGTGAATCATAAAACAATTAATTCTAATTAAGCATGTAGAGGTGAAACTAGTAAATGGGAAACTCAGTCATATCAAGAACAACTTCATACTTAGTAAATATAAGGACCTAAGAACCCTAAAAGGCCAACTTTCCATAAATAAGTCCGAGCATGCACTCGTCACCTCGCGTACACGAACTACAATCAACATAGATGACTCAAATCCTAAGGGGAAATCCCCCACACAAGGTTAGGCAAGATACTTACCTCAATTTGGCCAACTCAATACTCAATTTAGCTTTTCCTTTACCAATTCACGATCGCTCGACCCAATCTAGCCAAAGAAGACTTAAATACATCAAACAATGCAAGAGAAAATAATTTCAATTAACAAAGCTATGATCCTTATACAATTTACAAAAAGTCAACAAAAGTCAACTCCCCGGGCCCGCACCTCGGAACCCGACAAAATTTATAAAACCCGAACACCCATTAAATTATGAGTCCAACCATAGTAGTTTCACTCAAATCTGACTCCGAACCGATATTCAAAACTCAAAAATTCACTTTATGAAATTTTAGACAAAACCCCCAAATTTCACTTTGAAATCATCAATCAAATGCCTAAAACGAAGATGGATTTATGAAGTATAACCAAAATCGAGTATAGAACACTTACCTTAATCCATATAGTGAAAGTCACCTCCAAAAATTATCCAAATCCGAGCTCCCCAACTCAAAAGATGACCAAATGAACGAACTTTCGATATTAAGTATTTTTGCCCAGCTGTGCTGCCTCGTTTAGCATGCCAAACGATCTCAAAACTCGATTTTGATGCCTCCAATGGATTTC